ATTTAAGAAATATAAAACGGCGCGCGTGTCTCTGTCCTCTGATATAAACACGGTGGGAATTGAAAAACACGAGAGAAGCAAGCTTAGGAACACGAGCGTAGCGAGTGTTTCTCTTGCTTCTCGAGTGTTTTTCAACTCCCACCGTGTTTATATCAGAGGACAGAGACACAAGCGGCCGTTTTATATTTATTTTATAAAAATTTTTCATGCGAAAAGCAAATTTTGCCGGTAAGCCGTGTCTCCGTCCTCTGGTCGTCAGCCAATCAGAGCGCGCGTTATATATCAAAAATTTTATAAACTCATATAGAGGTCTACATGTACATGATGTATTTTCTAATGTTTTTGCAATAGATCTCTGAAGCTACGCTTACATTATTCGCAATGGATTAGGATATGTTTTAGGACAAAACCTATAGGATATTTTTGCTTTATCCAGAAACTGATTCCACGATGTATTCCAAATCAAGTAGATGAAGTAAAAGCTTCAGAAGTCTACTTTAATCCACTTTAATTAATCGGTTGACTCCCTCATTATGAAGATACTTTAACCAGGTGATCGGCGCACGTGGACGGAGAACGCCTAGTAGATTCAATGAAGGCACCATCCCATCATTCAGTGCGCGCATGTACAATGTTCTAAAGAAGAATTCGATAGTCTACTGCTCAAAAGGTAACATTTAATCGTTAATCTTAATGTATTTGCCAGTTTGTAAGGTAAATTTCCACTTCTAATCGTTCTATTTTGAATTTAATACTGTGAGATGGAAAATATTCTCAGCGCGCGCTGAATGATGGGATGGTGCCTTTATTGAATCCACTAGGCGTTCCTCGTGCACGCGCGCCGATCGCCTGGAATCACCTTAAAACTTACATGTGTGCGAGAAATTTTAAATTCCAAATCAGCATGACGTTTTCCCAGCTCAAATAAATATGCATAAAATTCCTCAGAGTCTCCCATTGTTGTGACAGCGTCGTCAATAGCCGTCATCACTCTCTTTGGATGACCATGTAGGCCATTTATCTCGCTTATTTCAATTGWCCGAAATTCTTTGAAGTGTATTTTGAGTTCCGGATGTATGGTCAGAAATCTAAAATATAAATTGAGATTAGTAACACAAAAAAATACTTGTTTTGATAAGAATGGCTGAAAATTGATGAATAGTTTGATAATGAATGATAAATGAATGAATTATTATGAAACAAAATGAACAATTTACTATAATGCTGAAAACCCTTGCATCATGACCTCGAAGTTGTSAAGTTCATAACGAATTTGGATGCTTCGAAATTTCAACCGAACAACACTGGAAAAAACAGCGCGCTTTAAAGGTTGCAAATTTGATGTAAATATGATGTACGTGTCCAAAATTCTGTAAATTTAATGAAAATCATTTACATCAAATTTACAGAATTTTGGACACTTACATSATATKTTTACATCAAATTTACAACCTTTAAAGCGCGCGATTTTTTCCAGTGCAATCAACTTCATTTGGGCTATTTGGGAAAGCAAAATTTYCATTGGTAGAGGATATTGTATATAAATTTATCTGAATTAAAATGTATAAATCGTTTTATACTAAGCCACAAAAAAGCGAATGTCAAAACATCTTGGTAGCGATATATGTATTTTCGCTGTTATCTGAGCGTTACCGCTCTAAATAAACTAGACGATCATAGATCGCTTAAGTGGGCTTCTTGTAGCTGCGACAAMGAWCATCTGCCGCCATTAAGCTATAGGTATTTCATTTTCACGATAGAGTCTTTGTTTAAAATAGTTCAAGACAGAATAAGTCAATATAAGTAATTTACATCTTTATTACATCTTTATTTTTTACCGAACGGAAGTTTATTACAGCCTTTGGTTTAGTCATATCATTTACATTCATGGCTTATAAAAAAATCAGCTGATCACAAGCCGTAGATATCGCGATCAGGCCACGAGGCCGACTGACGTACAAAACAATCCATGTTAAATATGAAAACAAAGCGCGGATTGATTTAGTTTGACAACTACATGGAAACTGATACTGTATACCATCTGCAACGCAGGCGTTACCACTTTGAAGCGTAATATTCACGATGACGACGGAGAAAATTCCATTGGCATTTTTAGACGTGGTCTTCCACAGGAAGCCCTCGTAATTATGAAGAAAGGAAGGATTGCTACAACATGAGAACGTGATGATGATGATTACAATGCTCTCCAAGCCCTCAATGGTGTAATCTCCCTCGCAGCCTCCCCTTTCGTCGGGCTTCCTGTGTCCCTCCCAAAAGAAGAGGCTTGGGAGGGACACAGGAAGCCCGACAAAAGGGGAGGCTGCGAGGGAGACTATCAATGGTGATAATGATGATTAAAATGCTCTCCAGGTCCTCAAGTTCAGTCGGTTGTCACAGTTGACACCTTCGGATCGTTTTTTTTTTTAAGTTATCGCGTACAGTTAAAGTAATGATTTCATAGTTCACTTTGTGAATTAGTAGTTGAATCGAAGAACGACTTCTTATTGGAAATAAATGCAAGAATGAATAGATGGATAAATTTGAGGATGCACAGATAAATGAGCAATTGAATAATGCGATGGAAATAATAGACATATCAGTTATATAAGGAAAGAAAAAAAATATCTTCTTATTAAGAATCGTTATAAAAACGAGAAATCGTCAAACGCTTGAATAAAGATAGTAGGTTTTTCCCGTCGTGGGATTTCAAAAAATAAATAAATAAAGTTTGAATCATTGTTTCTCGTTCAACGTCAAGTCACCATGGTTACATTTCGGTCTTCAACACTTTTTTAATCATTTCTGGTKCRATCGGAAACCAATTTATTTATCTRTGGTAAATGACACACTTTAGATTGCAGTATTTTTTGAACCTGAATCACCCCTCTGATTGCAGGACTTTGATCRATCAAARATGTMMCCTACTGAGAAGGATTAATAAGAAAAGTTTTTTTTATTGACAAATGGCCGACTTCTGTATTTTAAGAATCATAGTCCGATTACAATTTATAAGGCTTGACAGGCACATAGTTTAATTATTCAATTTCATTACGCATTTCAATAAAACACATTTTAACATCTTTGTATATAATCTAGAAACTGACATCGTCGCGTATTGCATCTCACACTCGCTGTTTTGTTACTATACCAAAATTGGAATTATGAGGTAGTACTCAAATATTTTGTAAGATAAGAAAGTGACAATGCGCGTGTATTTTTTTATGTGAGCAAGCTATATAGACCAATTTTGGACTAAAATTGTCCCTCATATGGCATCTTATCGAGTTGATCGGAAATTCAAATTACTAAAGAATAAAAATTAGTCATGCCCTCAGAAGAGGAAGTCCAGTATGAAATGTACTTAGGCTGTTTTTTTGAGAGCCGTATTGGTCTTATAGACTTTTAATACGTTCGAACGAATATAACTAGCGATAGACATTTTGTAGGATGGCGAATTCATGTTGCGCTTTCGCAGCTGTGATACGGCTACATCTACAACCAGGTTTCTCGGCCTGCGACTAAACTGTGTTTTAATTCGTAGCTTACTTAAGTTACTTTTCGTTTGCCTACGCAGTCTAAGTTAAGATCGTTCTGGATTACTYTTTTCTGAAGCCCTTACATCTTACTTATGCAAGATATTACGTACACATATCTCGCTATCTTTACGAAAAAAACGCAGCAATCAAWTGATATTTGCGGCTACTTACCGTTTATACACAGAAATCCCTATCTCTGACTTATAATTCTCCAGAAATTTCCACGTCTCCCTGATAAGATATTTCTGCTCCCAAGTCAAATCTGCTGACTTAGTATGTCTTAGCTTGTCAGAGAAATGTATTTCTGTACCGGATGAACTATTCGACGAGCTAGTGCATCCCATATTGCCAAGTTCAATGAAGATTGTTGGTAATTAATGCAAACGCGGTTTTAAATGCGCGATTTACGGATTCATCTGGTTGCTTCCTCWGTGTGGCTTGCTGGAAACGAGCTCATACCGCGTGCTTTTCTAATTATTTCACTAATTACRAATTTCTTTTTTCGTACGGCTTTGTCATAAACATTGCATATAGGTGTATAGTGAAACTACTCTTTCCTGTAACGTTACGAGCCTTTGTCTCAATGAACACTTGCAAATGATTCAACCCGTATGACAATTATTCAAGTGAAGTGTAATTATTTGCTCTGMCTTTAAGAATATATGAATTTAATGAGGAATTGAATGTTTTTAAAACTGCGTAAATAGGATTTTAGGGAATATAATCYCCCATCGATATTAATACGATTTTTTCGTAATGATATGATTTCCTTCGTCATAAAAGACGCCACGAAAGAGTTCAGCACTCATATTAGAATCAAAACAGTGTAGAGTCCGCTGAAGCTAATAACACTACATCTTCTACACAATTTATGTGAGAAAGCCACATTTTGACTCTGATATTTTGACTTGAAACCCTGATGTTTTGAAGCGGAACTACAGAGATTTGTGTAGTGTGAGAGGTTTACTCTATTGACGTCACAAACACTTTTTTTCTTATAAAATCTTAGAGCTTCTTCGTTAAAACGTCGGTAAAACCGTTCGGTTTTCTCACTGGAGTGATATCATATCACTTTAAAATAGTATTTTAATCAATTAAATAGTAAATGAACACTTGACCATTTTTGCATAACTCTTTTCGTTTTGCGCGACTGTGACAAGAGAAAGAAAACAAATGAGAAAAAGGTATCAGTATAGCACCTCTCAACCTCAGATTATTTTTAAAATATAAAGGTTCTTGCTCTGCCTTTGCTACCATTTTCATTGTCTTCTGTACCCAAATATCTCCCTTGCATTTCAACGAGATTTAACTGAATTAAACAATATGTTACATGGTATTGAGGCTCACAAAATTTAAGAGAATTGCTAAAAGGGTGTATTGTATTATTTCTAAACCAGCAAACTCGAACTAAGTTGTCATTTTYATTGAAAACTACTACAATATATTCGTGAGCGAGTATATTCTTTCGGCTTATAGTAAACTGCCAACAACCCATTGATCTTTTAGGCAGGAAATGCTATGCTTAAAATAWGCGTCTAATTGAAGAGACCAAAACAGAGAAACATAAACAACGGCAGTTGGGCTGTAACGGCTAATGAGAAAATAATAAACAAAGATGTATACGTATTTAGTATATGCTTTTGGAAAGGTTAAACGTTTCGAGACTGGACATGACTACTTTTCCTCCTCATTAAATCTCTCAGCACAGGGAACCCGTAGTGCGAAAACTACTGAGCCGTGCAATATTAATATTAATATTAATGAAGATTGAAATGCGGCAATCCAGGCTAAGAACGGGAATCAACGTTTAACCAACGAGCTTTGAGATGCCAGCCCAGTCTCTACCACCTGAGGACGATTGTTAATTATTATAGCCAATACATGCTGCCCATCTAAAAAATAATTGACAAGGAAAATTCCGAGGAACTGCCATAATTCACCTTTTCAGTTGCTCTTAGGCCTCGATGGCAAATTAATTATTTTTTTGGAATTTGACAAATGAGACTATTCATATCAATTTGTGCTTTGCTCACATTCCTACAAATTCAAAAGGGTATTTAACTTGCTCTTGAGGCCTATGAGCAACTGAAAAGCTGTGTTGGACGAGGCTGTTAGAGGAATATTTTTTTGTGCAGTATGGAGAACTATTACCTATTTTACAAATCTTCATATTATTCCTAGCAGTCCAATTAAGAAAATAACTGGACAGGCACCTATTTATGATTAATAGTGGATGTAGAATTAGAATTAGAAACTTCAAAATGAAAGCTGGCAGGAAACTGGTTGAGTTATTTGCCTTTTTAACTGATAAAATATTTATTGTAGCGGTTTTTAAAATTTTATTCGATTTGCATAGATTAAACTCTCCGGTTTTTACACTAGACGTTACGTTACGGTTTCTAAATACATAAAGATTACAACGTTGAACAGTCTACAAAACTATAAACGAAAGATGAAAGACGAATAATACTTACAAAACAATATGCTTACTCCATATGGTCAACAATTAAAGAACGAATATGCAAAAAMGAGGGACTTTATGACATTTACAATTCTCTGGAGACACAACAGGAACGCACTAAAACAAAACGATCTACTTAACGAGTTTGCATTAACAAYATTGTTTATTTGAAAATCATGGTTACACTGATTGCAATATATTATGAAAAAAGGTCTTAACAAAAAATACCACAAAAGCTACAAATAATACAACTATCAAAAGAAGRATGACTTAAAAAAGGAAAGACAAACTTTTTGCAGTAWTTTAAGTAATGCCCCGAGTAAGAACTAGGGAAGCAAACGGCACAGGAATGCAAGAAGGTGCTAATTGCGCATTGTATAATCCATCCATCCCATTGGTTAAAACATGAAAATCTGCTATAATTTCACAAGTTAGCGAATTTTCTAATATTTTATTTAATGTCTGTTTTCGCTTTCATGAAAGCTTTCTTTATAGCTTTAATAACAAGGCAATTCTACGTGGGGAACATAGCAAATTAGAAGCATCTTTTGGCTATTGTTTTGAGTGCTTATGATTGGATAAGAGCTTTTAATACAAAAGAAACTTTGTTCAAAAATAGAGTTTATCCACATTTTATTTCAAAAATGTGTTACCCACAGATGGATACATRATCAGTGTGAAAACCAAGGCATTCGTACATGGGGAACTTGCTATGCCGCAGAACAATAGAGAGTTCCCTAGTTCTTTAGCGCATTGTTACTTAACACTTAAAAGTGCCAATAGGGAAGGTCAGATACGAGAACTTAGGAATTAGGAATTAGAAGGAGTATTATACGGCAGAAAGCGATCCAGTGTGCACCTTATTTCCTTATTTGTGCCAAAGGGAACCTGGACTATTCATGTCTTGCATTTCCAAATAAGGTAAACATATGGTAAGAACATTTGATTGGCTCATTTTATGTGACGTAATGATAAACCTTTTAGCATCATTGTACTTATACTGCAAAATAATGCTTCCCAGGCCTCCTCGACTTTGCTATTCCAATACGAAGCGGAGGTGAGAATTTCCATAATTACTGATATAAAACACTTGCGAAGACCTTCAAACTGCGGAAACAMATAATATGGTTATTATAAAACTAGTCATCACATTCATTTGACCATTTTATCAAAACGGACACCATCTAAAAGTGCTTGTGAATCCTGACAAAAAAATTCTGATTCTCTTTGAGCTGATTCTATATAAAATAAATAATTGAATGGTGAAATATTCCTGCATTTTAGTGTTGCGTCTTTGAGTTATGAAGGTTCAATCTTACAATATGTTAATGAAAATGACGTCAAGGGAGGCTTTATTAGATTTACGAACTTTGAAGGAGTCGCTTAAAAATGGTTTCATGGCATTAAATTTGTCGTATACAATGTAGGGAACAACCCTATTCCCAGATGGCCTTCATGAAAACATTTTTGCGACTTGTCAGGCGTCATAGGCACTTTTCGATTCTTTTAAGTATCGATCTAGTAAGAAACTATAGGATGCCCGGGACCCATACCCTCACTTCTGAACTGAAAAGCAAGGAAGCCTTGATACTTACATGTGATTGAGATATCCTTAAATTCAGTTCAATATGGCGTCGTCCAAGCTCGATCAAATATGCATAAAAGCTTTCAGAATCGCCCATGGCTGTAACAGCGTTGTCGATAGCCATGAGAAGACGCCTAGGATGACCATGTCGACCATTGATCTCATTTATATCGATCGATCGGAATTCTGAGAAGTGTTTTATGAGTTCAGGGTGCATGTTAAGAAATCTGATATGGAATTAAAAGTCATTAGATAACTACCAGCTTTCGTGTCCGAGCAGGAGACTGGGTAAAAGTTTTAAAATTGCCCAAATCGGTGTGTGACCTATAAAAATCTAAATCAAATAAAAAGCAAACTTTAGTGGAATTAAATTGAGTAAATACTTAAAAAATTACAGCCATTCAAAAACTCTCTTATTCAAATGTACATCTTTAGTTTGCAGGGAATGCTTTCCCACAATCTGTACATTCCTTTGTAAATGTTAACATTTTTAAACAGCTTCAAGTTCTTAGATAGTCATCTGAATTAAACCAAAACTTGGGTATATTATCAATTTTGATGAGCTCTTCAAGATGATATAGGTAACTTGGCGATTTTTTGCAATTTTAAAACTCGAACCCAGCCTCCTGCTCGGACATRAAAGCTGGAAATCGATTGAGACATCAGTCATAAGCAAGAGATATATCTGCGCTTTAAATGGCTTGCACACGGAGGGTTCTTCCTCCCCAACTTGGATGGGGGTGTGCCGCACGACCCTCAAAACCCTTACCTCTTACCCTATCTCAGACCAATTTTTGTGATTCTACATACCCTACCCCAGATAAAGGTACAAAGGTACATTATTTAGCGTGGCCTAGCAGATACAATCACAGACAAAACTCCACCCTACCCCAGACAATGAGACTATACCCTATCCCAGACAAAAGTACTACTAAAAAAAAACTACCCTATCCCAGACAAATGGGCAAAAAATGATACCCTATCCCAGACTTGGAGCTCCGAAAAAGGGACCCTATCGAGCGGCAAATACCCGTATAGCAAATATAGGAGGCTTGCAAGCCTTAAGCCTTGTTTTCACTAGAACATAAGCAAAGACATAAGTCGAGAACAAAAGAAAATACAAAGCCAAAGGAAGAAGTCAAGCGTGCGACATAAGACATTGACGTAAGCATAGCAATTAGCACAGAGTGAAGCCATAAACCCGTGGAAGAAAACTTGACTATTAAAATGTGATAGTCAAATAGACAAAAAAGAAAACAATGCAATTAGAGGGTACTATAATGTGTAATTAAGTGTAATATCTATTTCTCGGTATTTTTGGCCTTCACTTTAAGATACGTATATGGAGAGAGAGTAACGTAATATTGACATCCAAACTTGAATTTTCAGTTTCAAATTTATGCTAATTTTCGACATTTTTATAAGGGTTTTTTCCCTACTTTACGCATTTGTTTCAGTTKTTTATTCTTATTTGATGTAACCATAGATACTGCAACGTTATTTACAATCTTTATATTTTAATTAAAGGAAAAGCTTAAAGTGTCAGTCTTATAATGACTAACCCCATATATTTTCAATGTCATCAATTTCACATTAAAAAATCGTATTCAGCTCTCACTCCACATGCAGAAATCAAAACAAAGTAGATTTGTCAAAAACACTAATTTACCTRRAATTTTGCGGTCGGAAAATGYGTGCAAAYGYTTTTTTGTTATATAGATCTTGGATGAAAAATAAAAATGAGTTGATTTTAATATCAGCATTATTTTTTATGTAAAAACAGTAAAAAATACCGTAATTAATGTTTMTGGTCTGTATTCATTATTCTGTATGAATGTTTGATGTAGAAGTTATGTWAAAGATAAATTTAACACCGTAAAAAAGGAGKAAAGCAGCAACTTACTGACGTTTCGGACGTTAATCCTTCGTCGGGGTAAAGAGATGAAGGACTAACGTCCGAAACGTCAGCAAGTCGTTTCACCTACTTTTTTAAGGTATTAAATTTATCATTAACACAACTGTTTTTTAGAAACATCGACGCAGCTCACAATAGTTTACCGCTAGAATTTTCCAGCATTTTGATGTACAAGTTGTCATTTATAATAATTCCTTTAAAATCAAYCGTACTGTAGTATACCCGTGTGCAATTTATCTCATGTAAATGTTTTTTTTAATATTGGATAAATCTGCGTTAACAAATTTACCAAATATTTAAAAAAAACATTTACATAGATAAATTTGCACATGGGTATAYTACTATACGGTTGATTWTAAAGGAATTATTATAAATGAATTTTAGCTAAGATTGTACGGCCTAAGATTGTTCCAAAAATCCCTTAAATGATACAAATAATGTAAGCTTCAATTAGAATTACTGAAAGGAAAAATATTACACGAAAGACGAGAAACTCGTGGGTGCAGTGTAGAAATCATAGATCAAAATCACGTGTACATAGATCAAAATCACAWGYACAAATKGTTAGCACAAKATAAAAMCCCCTTTYATTGTGAACCTGAAATCTGGACAATTTGTCCAGCCGATTAGTCGAAAATAGATGAAAGTATTACGTAGAATACTCCACATTTAATTTTGTTTACTAAAGATCTACTTATACTCATAACATCGAAGGTCCAGTAGTTTTATAGACATTTATTTTTTATCTAAGCAGGAGTTTAGGTCATGAAATAGAACTGATATTTTATGGTGTGGTTTTTCTGATAAACAGGCCGCCCATTTACAATTAATGGTAAAATGAGATTAGCAAAAGCTTTTYGTATTATTTTTGTCATATGCTGGAAAGACTTTGCGTCATTCGCATAACAAACAGACGAAAATAGCCTTAAATGACTGACGAATTTCAATCGCACCAACGGATAAACTTATGTTAGAAACTGAGAAAAAAACTAGTGAAAAAGTGATTTTAAGTTTAGAATTAATATTCCTTCGGATTGTAATTTTTTTTTCCTTTTTCTTTTCTTTTTTTTTTTCCTTTTTTTTTTTTTTGAATTTGTAGATTGTAATTTGTAAGATCTGAATCCATTCGACGTCATTTAATTTTTGTTTATTTTTGCTATCAAATCTAATGTACCTAAAACTTACTATCAACGACAATACGACAATGAAGGCGATTGAGATGAAGGTTGACCTTGAGATTCAAGACGTGACACGTGACACGTTACGACAGCCGTCGGCGGAAAGTTGTCTTCGGGCATTATTTGAATTGTCTTTGTGTGTAACTCGTTTTCACATTAGTGATTCATTTTCTTTCGCATTATCTACATGCAGGTTGAAGTATAGATTCATGCAGTATAATGAAGAAATTCTAACTTATATSAATATATCAATATATAGCGATGTTAATATCTCAAATTTAAACCTTTAATTTGTCACAAAACTGCAGATTGTGCTTGACAAATCTGAATRAACATAATTTCAAAGTATTTGARTGATTTACGATCTGTTTTTACAAGAAAAGAATGGAAATCACATGAAATTACCCATGAWGCACCACTGTTTGTATTTTTTTACGTAGACCATTGTCAAGGTTATTTGCCTTTAAAAGAAGCTTTCCTTTTCTTGATTGATATATGGACTATACCACAAATAAGCAGTGATCTTTTGTGACAGAATTAGAGTTCCCTAGGTACACATATCACTAAAACTCATTATTAACAGAAAAAAATGGGTGATTTAACTTATAGTGCAATAAAAAAGAAAATATCAAATATAACCCATATGTATTTCAAAATTCAAGAGTAAAATGTTACTCCATATTGTGCAAACACTACAAATACCTAAAGAAAATAATAGATTTTGATTGTAATAATAGACCTTTTCAAGAGGTGATTACAACATTAAACTCTTCATTACCTCAAGTAAAATTGCACTAAAAGAAGTTTTGTATCTCTCATTCGTAATCACCGCGATATGTAAGGTAAAAACTAAAGTAAATGTACGTAGATTGAAATAATTACTAGAATCAATATAGCAAACTGTGGAGGTCTTAATTGTTCGCAAGTTTATGAAAGACACTCTACTTCAAAAGTATACAGAACAGTAAAGTTAAGTAAATATCACAAGACWAACTTTAGAAACCTGCTAAAACGGAATAAAACCATTGTTTACTCACAGAAAGTGAATATATTAGAGTTTGAAAATGCGAGTTTGAGCAATTCGAGCTTAAAAAGGAACGCGCCATTAAAAGTAGGCGAATCAAAAAAGTAGAAGAGCTAAAATTTTTATTCTTGAGCGCATCTCAAAAACATCGAGATGACGCTGCGTTTTAATTGTATAATTTTTAACGCTTTTTCTTACACGCAAAAATATTATTTCTTAGCGGGGAAAGCTACGTTGTATTCTTGCATTGAAGCTTGGATAATGAAAATAAATTTTTGATATAGTCATCAAGGTCGTGCGACTTGATATCTAAAATTCACTAGWAACACTGTCGTTATCATTAAAAGCGAAGCTATATTCATATGTCATAATCCATACGCAGAATTCGATTTTCTTTGTTAATCAAAAAAGACATATATACATTAGCAAACTATCAACCAACCTTTTTTTAAAAAAAAATCAAAAATGACAATGCAATCATTCATTATCAACAAGTCTCGTACCTTTTGTACACCGAAACTCCAATTTCTCGTTTGGACACTTCAAGGAATCTCCACGTCTCTCTAATTAGATATTTCTGCTCTGCTGTCAGCTCTACAGACTTCGMCAATTTTTGCATGTCAAGAAAATTCCGCTCACTTAGAACATTCTCCACTGAGCTCCCACAACCCATTGCCACTTGCAGGTTGTATAGTAGTAATGACCTAGCGGTAGAACGAAAGGTTGACTTTTGTGCTTTTCATGAAGAGATTTGCTGTTGTCATTATTCCCGCAGGAACGAACGACGTGATGTTGTCTTTTTATACTAATAATTTAATAGGGTGCCGAACAATGTCCATTAAATAGAATACTAAATTTCAAAATAAAAGGATGCAGAATAAATTATCTRAAAAAAATTCAGATAAAAACGCSACGACTGCAATTAACAATTTTAGTTCATATCAGTACGTTTTTGATAAATCTCCGCACGTACCTAACCACTATATATAAATATACCATAGAAAAAGTAAGTTTTAAAATGCAATAAATGAGATTATTCATTCTTATTCGAGTAACAATGAATTCAATTTTCAATAATTATAATATACGGTTGTATTTTGTCAATATTGTATGGATGTTGTATTCATAATTCCGTCCTGAGAAATGAGAACTGGCACGTTTCAATCCGCAGCGATCATTACATGCAGAATCGGCAGGAAGCAAGGTGTTCATTTCGTTCAATTGAAGGCTCTTTTAATTAAGAAAAGTCAAAATATGGAACTTTGTAATTAAAAATCGCTTAACAGTACTCAAGTCTTAGAAATGCAATAAGCGTGGATTTATGGTACTATATTCTTACCTGAAACTTTAAACGATGTCAGAAATTGGTCACTAATTATGTTGATACGATTTCGCAACAACTGGAAACACTTTGAAGTCCGGTATAATTTTCCTTGAGGCTTTTCCTAAAGTTATTTATTAATAACAAAAAGGTCGTAATGGAATAACAAGCATAAGAAGCTGTTATATAATCAAGTTTGCAAATATTATGAGTTTAATTATCAGAAATTTCATTGATAAGCGTACAAATTATATACAGGTCATATTTTAAATCGCAGTAAAAGGTTACAAAAAGACGCAGAGTTCTTGTCGATCACTTGTTTAGTTTTAGTGATCTTAGGTAAACTTTAAGCTTTTCTTGTTGTTGTTGTTGTTCTTCTTGTTCTTCTTGTTCTTCGATCTTATAGTGCCTTTTTATTCTTGTTCTTCTTGTTCATCTTCTTCTAGTGGCTTCTTCTTCTTTTTGTGCTTTTTGTTAACGTTCTTTTTCTTCTTCTAGTGGCTTCTTGTTCTTCTTGTTCTTGTTCTTCTTTATCCTTCTGCGTCTTCGTCGTCTTCTTCTTCTTTTCTTTCTTGGTCCTCTTCTTCTTAAATTCCTCTTCTAGAATTATTTTTC